ATGACAGTAGTACGATTGAACTGAAGTAAAAAATAAAAACAAGGATTTTGAACGAAATAAGACCAAAAAGTTACTGGGGGCTTCGTCTCCTTACCCCCAACGTACTTCCCACTAGCGACTACTGAAGCTTGCTTGGCTGCGCTACGTCCCCGAGCAAAATCTGAAAAACCGTCTGTGCTATGAACTGATGGGATATCAACGTTTGTTTATTTCAGGATGTTCAGTATGCAGCCTTGGCGTATCTTACGGGCGAGTGTAATTATGGTGGTCGTGTAACGGACGATCGAGATAGAAGAACTATATTGACCATTCTTGATAAGTTTTATTGTTCGGATATTCTTGATGTAACTTATGCTTTTTCTGCAAGTGGGAATTACTATGCGCCTAAAGAAGGCGAGGTTAGTTTGTCGCTTTCATGAATTTCTATGTTTTGTTTGTTTGTCTGTCTGTCTGTCTGTCTGTCTGTCTGTCTGTCTGTCTGTCTGTCTGTCTGTCTGTCTGTCTGTCTGTCTGTCTGTCTGTTTGTTTGTTTGTTTGTTTGTTTGTTTGTTTGTTTGTTTGTTGATGTTGTTGCTTCATTGATATGTTTGTTTTATCGTTTGTTGACGTTCAGTAGCGTAGCCAGCCCGACGATTTAGTCCCGCTATGCGCAAATATGTTTGTGTTCATTGGCTGTGAAAACAATCAATTTCTAAAGAAATGAACAATGATAATAATTTTGAATTTGCATAAACTAACTTGTCGGGCTAGCTACGCCACTGTTGACGTTGCTTTGTTGATGTGTTTATTTGTTTGTTTTGATGCTTGTGATGTTACTCTGAGTGTATATCCACACCGGGCAAACTTGAAAAATATGCCTGACCACGGTGGGAATCGAACCTACGACCTTTGGAATACTAGTGCGAGATCACTCGCGGGGACAAATACCACAGTCATGAGATTTAAGTATGTTTTGTTTTAGTACGAGTCGTATCTGGAGTACACGCGTAGTTTGCCACAAATAACTCATCCTGAAGCGTTTGGTATGCATGCTAATGCTGATATCTCCAAGGACCAACAAGAAACTCATCAATTGTTCACCAACATCCTTTTAACGCAGGTCAGTCATTTTAATTGAAAGCTTGAATATGCGCAAGCAAAGATGAAGGCACAGATGTTAGTGTTGTTTAGGTGACTGGTGTCCGATCCTTGCAATATGCAGTGCTCATCAGATTATAGTAATTTCGTCTAAGTCACATCTCGATCCAATTTTATTCTATAAACACCACAAGTTTCATCATTTAGTAAAACTGGGCCGATAAGAGATGACCATCACTGGATCGAGAGCAGTTGATATAGAACTATCTATATCTAATAGTAGATCAGATTATAAACTGTTCTCTAGAGGTCCGATGAGTGACCGTATTAACAAGGGACGGAGTCACTACAGTCTACAAACGGAAACTGGACTACACACGTAGAAATCTCACAATTCGTCAACAAGATGTGTTCGCAACAGATAACAAGTTGTTGCAACGACTTAATTGTAACAAGTCTGTTGAGTTCAACACCTTGTAGCAAGTTTTCAACAACCCGTTGACAACTTGTCAACAAGCTGGGAACAAGCAGTGCGAACACATCCGATCAACCTATACGCAGGTACACACCCTAAAGCCTGAATAATATCGTGTATATATACTGAATATCATCAGGCTTATCCAGTATAAAATTGCCTTCACCATAGAAAATTTTAAATTTCTTATTTTTAGAGCATGAATACCGTGTTAGTTCAAGAAATGGTCCGTTTTAATAGACTCACTGAAGTCGTTCGAAATAGTTTGAGAAATCTGCAAAAAGCTATCAAGGTGAGAAAAAAGTTTTGTCAAGGTAAAAATTGTTCAATTTTAGCTTTGCTTGAGGCGGGGAGCCAGGAGGGAGGGGGGGGGGGGGCAATCGGAACTCCGAATTCTACCCGAGTTAGCCGATATATACTCCAATTGATTTATAGCGTTATTGATTCTAACGAGAAGCTTTCTTCTCCAGGGTCTTGTGGTTATGTCGAGTGAGTTGGAAGAAGTAGTTGATAGTATTTTGAAAGGTCGTATTCCTGGCTTGTGGATGAAACGGTCGTATCCATCACTCAAGCCGCTGGGAAGTTACGTCGGTGATCTGGTCGCCAGACTCAAGTTCTTACAAGTAAGCATATACTTAAACAATGAGTGGTAAGAATTCACAAAATGTCGACACTTTTTAATAATTTCCTTCCAGAAACTTAAAAATGAAGGCATAATTAGTTATCTCGTTTGTGTATAAGTCTGCCTTTGCGAAAATATATTCGTTGGTGTTTCGTTATTTTAGGCGTTATTTTGAAGTGATGAATGAAAAATTCATGTTACTTGTATATTTTTTTCTCAGGACTGGTACGAAGTTGAAGCTCCTCCTGTTTTCTGGATATCGGGTTTTTTCTTCACACAAGCTTTCCTGACAGGTCAGTGTTACCAGACAAATAAGAAAAACAACAATAACAACAACAACACCAATAATAGCAACCACAAACAGCAACAATAACAGTAACAACAACAACAACAGCAACAATAACAGCAACAATAACAGCAACAACAACAACAGCAACAACAACAGCAACAACAACAACAACAACAATAACAGCAACAACGACAGTAACATCAATAACAGCAACAACGACAACAACAATAACAGTAACAACAACAGCAACAACAACAGCAACATCAATAACAGCAACAACAACAACAACAATAACAGTAACAACAACAGCAACATCAATGACAGCAACAACAATAACAGTAACAACAACAGCAACAACAACAGCAACATCAATAACAGCAACAACAATAACAGTAACAATAACAGTAACAATAACAGTAACAACAACAGCAAGAAAACTAACAACAACAATTTTGACTTACATGGCAATGGCTAAACCATCACATATTAGTATTTTTGGTTTCATTACTAGTATTTTCCTCTATTTGCAAGTGTAGCTTTTGAATATTCATCTCCCCTCCCCC